TTCCACGAAGCACGTTTCGCCTCGATACGATCGGTGGTCGAGTAGCGATCGATCGACTCGAGCTATCGTATCGGGGGTGATTAGGCATCGCAATGACAAAAATGGCGAGGGGAGTGAAGAGATCACGCACGTGATCATGTGTGCCGTCGTGTGTTATTAGCAGGTAGCTTGTTAGGCGGTCGGTTTTCTGGATAATGGCAGGTATTACAACACGCGACCGTTATTAACCCCTCGGCCGGCCTCCCTTCCACCCCGCCTTCTATCCGTCTTTATTTCGACCCTATGTAACGCGCTTCCACACATCCGCACACCCTGCCGCACACCAGATATAAATCATTATTCATAATAAGCTGTCGCGACAAAAAACCTCCACCGACAGATCTTAGCTACGCTAAATGATCGTGCCGGTCTCTCGCCCTACCGGATGACTCTCCCCCTCCCCCACCGCTTCTTTCGAACGCTTCTCTCTCTCTCTCTCTCTCTCTCTCTCTCTCGCTCGCGATTAAAGGACGCCGCCTCACCAGCATCGAACGATCTCTTAAACTCATCTTTTCGGAAATTCCGCTCGATTCGTACCACGAGGCTAAACTGCTCAAAACAGAAGATGACCTGAATTGTAAGCGACCTTATACAATAACGAATTATTTCCCAACGACAACATTTGATTGATATCTTTCGATACATTTGCACGTGCGCCGTGTCGTTGACGATAAAAACGCGTCGAAGGACAGTTCGTTGGCGAATTTGTTTTTAAAGGGTTGGTACGGGCGAGAGGAGGATATTATTCCCAGGTGGTTCGAAACACGTCTTCATTTTAGCGGTCGGCGAGGAGGGTGGTTGCGAGATTCCGACGGAGGCAGGACGCAGGACGGCTGGTCCCGAGGAGCGGAAAATACACGGCGATGCACGTGGGGATCGACGTCCTGGAGAACGTGGCGGTGTTCGCCGTCCCCGTGTCCCGGTCATCCTCGTCGTGTGGGTCCGAGCGTGCCGGACATAGCACCGCGTCCTCGCGATCGCCAGGGTTTTGCCGTTGCGCGACCCGAGTTTTTCGCTCGGCTCTTCTCTGGCGGCAACTCGAGGCCTGGCAAGTCGGCAGTGCATTACACGCAATTAGACGCCAGGGTGGCCCCGAGGTATGTCCGACAAACGGTCCTCCTCCTCCTCCTCCTCCCTTTCTCCCATCCTCTCTCTCTCTCCTTCTCTCTTCCTTCCTTTCTTCCTCCTTGCCTTGCTTCTCTCTATACTGCCTACTTACAAGTAGACCCCTCCTCTCTCTCTCTCTCTCTCTCTCTCTCCCCCCCCCTCTACCTCCCTCCCCCCTTTTTCCCCGTTTCTTCTTCCTTTCCCCGTCTCTTTCCCTCCCCCCATTTTGTCGCCGCCTTACTTTTCTTCCCGGCTTGAGAAAACTGAGCCTTCGTGCCGAGCCTTCGTTTCCTCCACCTTCCCTTCTTCCACCGCTCCCTCTCCTTCCTCTTTCCCTCTTCTTCCTCCCCCCTCCCCCCTCTCGCCCATTTTCCTTCAGGGGTTCCTTTTCTTTCGCTCGCCGCATTGAAAATCCACCATTCTTGCTTGCATCTTATCTCCTCTCCGGCCGGGGAACAGTGTATTCTTTTCGCCCGTTTCTTTTTTCTCTCTCCTTCTTCCATCTCGAATGGGAAGAAAGGATGTATAAAACGGATGTACGGATCGATGTAAAGATATAATTAAGGTTGATTACGGATCGAGAGAGGATATTTTTTTTTTAATTCTCGTTTTAAGCGCGAATTATCGAATAATAATAATAATAATAATAATAACAACAACAACAATAATAATAAAAGGATACAATAGGGAGGAATCGTGAAAGAGTTTGTCACGGGGGAATTTCGAATTGAAACTCGATGTTTCCCGTTCTAGGAAACCTGGATGACGTATCAACGGCGGGTTTTAAAGACTATGGAAACTGTAGACAAAACCAGAACACGGTTTATTCCGTTGAATAGTAGTACCTCCGACGGCAAATACAATTGTGGTATGCGTGTCGCTGAGTGAAAGAGGCGGACGAACATTGTATCGCCTCGGTCTCCGCAAAAATGTTCGACTAATTATATTTGTGCGTGTGCGAACACGTGTTTCACGCTTGTAGTCACTCACGGTCAATGGAGGCTCTGCGACTATCGTCGAACAGGTTGGCACACCACGGCCCTGCCGTTCTTGCGACAGAAGGTGGCTGGTACGGTTGAGAACAAAATGGGAGGAGACGGTGGAGACGAAGCAAGAAAACTCTCTCGTGGAAGAGGAGCGCTAGAGCGCTCCGTTTAAAGCAGGATGCGGAGCAAACCGGCGCGTTCTAAGTGTAATTACCATTGGCGCAATTAATTTAGCTAAAGAGCCACCATTAATTTACAATCTGACCTCTCCCTCTTCCCGATCGCATTCCTTTCTCGCACGAGGTTCTCATCGATCCTGAATTTCGATCGTGCAAGTCGTCGATAAAAGACAGTCAACGAAAATAGTCACGGTTTCTTCGTCGTAGTTTTCTTCTCTCCTTCTATCTGTGTAAAATTTATCCCGAAAGTTGTTTTGTTGCTCAGAGTTGGTCGTTGAAAGGTAGTTAGCTAGTCGAAAATTTCGGACAAAGCGAATCATTAAAATCGACGCTGCGATTATTTACGATACTTGCTTGTTATTCGTTTCGAACGATATCGAAACAACTGATCGAACCTGACTTTACTCGTCTTCAACTTCAAATTTTAAATTTACATTTGAATTTTTATGGAGCTAGCTTTCTACCGTTTCTTTTAAGAATCGCGTCAGATCTGATACGAACAACTTTTAGCTGGTCGAGGAGGGGCGAGGAAAATACACAATGCGATTGCTCGAGCTTGACCGACGCTACCAACTTTTCCCGAATTTATAATCTCGTTACAGCTGTAAGCTGTAGAAAGGAAGGATCGAATAGCTCGAAATTGCGGTCTCCGCACGAGATCGATTCTTCGATATTCATCGCGAGACACGTGCCTTTTTCGTTTCTTTTCTTCGGTTCACCTGGTTCACTCCAAGCATCTGGCCGAATTATTTTTTTCGTTTCTTCTTTTTTCCCCTTCCTAATATAATTTTAATTCGTAAATATTTATATATATATATATATTTGAAAAAAACTTGAAAAAAAGAAAAAGTATAAAAATACACAAATCGAGCGAGGTGAAGTTTCTACTCGAGATTGAATATCTCTCTCTCTCTCTCTCTCGTCAACCCATTGGTCGCAGTATTGTTACGTTTCCCCGCGTGGACCTACGTTAAAATTAGCCATTTATTCGTTGACCGGTGACATCGAAAGTCAAGCGTGACGAAAGAAACAGAGGCAGTTTGCATGGCCTCGAAGAATACTAGAATCTCGACACACCTTTAGAGAGCCACGGTCGTTCACATTGTGGATCGTGAAGTGCCGTGAAAAAGATCACGGGGGCCATTGTGCCCAGCCCTGCCTTTACAACCGGGCGGCGGGATGACTCCTAAATATTTTACAACTGCCTTACGGTCCTAACGCAAACGGCCGCACGTCAGGACGCCCATTTTTTCCTCCTCTAACATCTGTATAATATTTCACCTGGTGGGACGTGCTCGTGCCTCTTCTATAGAACCGCGAACAAGACAGTTATATTTCGTCGCGCCACCTCGATTTAGCCTCGAACGATCCTCCTCCTTCCCCCGTCGATCTCGCGTCCAATTTCGATCGATATTCGACTCTCTCGTTCCGATCTGAAAATTTGAAAGCTGGAAAGGAGAGGAAAAAAGAAGACCTCGACCTCGTTCGACGCTCGACCTCGACGAATCCAGCCATAAATTCCCGGATGAGGAAACGTTTCGCGTCTGATCCGGATTGAAAAAAAGTCTGTCGAATTACGGGCGAGCATCGGGCATCGCGGCAAAAAGCGTGGAAAAGAAGAAGGATTGGAATGGTTGGGAAGGACGAAATCCTTTTTGGGGTGGACGGAGGGGAGTTTGTCCATTTGGGATCGGCCGGTGGTCCAATTAGCGCAGCATCCGATAAACGAACTCGCGGCTCGGGGTGGCTGTGCAATTGCTGGTTAGGCCGCCATATAAATTTCTTAGTAGGAGCCGGTCTCTGTACAAGCTTCTGCCAGGCTAACTGTGCCGTATACTGACCGGGCTGACTTTCTTGCGTGGCCGCGCGATGCTCACCTCGACCGGCCGGCCGCGCCTCGCTAAAGGCGTATTAAATGCCTTCCTTCTAGCCTGACCGATCATTCCGCCGACGACAGTTACTATCTGGAATTTGCCGCCTTCCGTCAAACGGAAAGTCTCGAGGAGCCAGCCACAGGCCTCTCCAGGCTTGTACAGTTAACCGTTCCATCGCGAGAGACGAACCGAGCTTTTAAACACCGACCATCCAACCAACCCCTTCCCCGACTCAACCGATTTCGATCTTCCTCTCTTCGCATCGTTTCGAAGGGAATGAAGCAGAGAAAGAGAGAAAGGAAGGGATGATCAACAACTTCGATCATCGATCGAATTTCTATTTTTGAACGACAAGTTGCAACGCTGATTGGAAAATTAATTTTTCGACTCAACCGATTTCGATCTTCCCCTCTTCGCATCGTTTCGAAGGAAATGAAGGAGAGAAAGAGAGAAAGGAAAAGATGATCAACAACTTCGATCATCGATCGAATTTCTATTTTTGAACGACAAGTTGCAACGCTGATTGGAAAATTAATTTTTCACCGGATATCGTAATTCCGTGTTTCTTCGCGCGCAATTGTATAATATCGGCACGTTTTTATCCGTGTTTCAACAACCTCGCGTAGAAAAATACAAAATGTCGCGTGGGAAGACACTGGCCACCGGCCAAAATTACTTCTTCCGTTCGCGTTATTCGGCCAAGTTCAAAGTGACGAATAGCCTTTCGTTATCCTACAACCACCGAAGATTCCCGGATTTTAGTTTGCATTTTAGTTGGCATCCGCGAATCGTTGCCGCGTTCGCGGATCGGGCTTCTCCATTCTTCTTTCGTTCGAACATCTATCCGCTCGACACGATTTCTTTTAAGTAGGGTTGAGTAAGAGTTCGATTTTGAAATCGAATGGCCACGGGCCGTAATTTTATGAACAATAGCTGCGGCTAACTCCTCCCATTCGTCGATTCCATCCGTTGCGTTATCGTATTTTTGTGAATAGAGCGATTGAGAAATTTCGATTCCGTTGAAATCCTTGAAGAAACTGCAACTCGGAGTCAGGTGACGATTGTATAGTAAAACGTAAGTCTTTTTTACTCTCCATCTACCCCGTCTCCTGTTCTTATTTGGTAATCACAATGAGTCTTTCGTTTATCCGTGTATAAATTTTCTATTATTTTTATAAAATCAATCGTGACGTTAAACATTCCAGATAGTTTAACGACGTATTAAACAATATATTAATTGAAGTGAATCATTGCTTTGATGTAGTTAAATGAATATAAATTAATATTTATTTAATATTTGTTTAATATTTAAATCGGTTATATACTATACTTATTATATGTTTTAACCGACGTAACAGAAATCGAGCAAAAATATTTCTCTGGCATTTTCGTTTCAATAAAATTGTCTCGATTCGTTTTGGCAAGAAAAAAATAAATATACTACGATTCTCGTTATTCTGCTACTTAAATGCAATTATGAATACTTTTCACGTAAATGATTAGATTCTTCAAATCTCTAAAGAGAAGCAATTATTTATAAAATTTAAAATTATTCCGTTTAGAAAATTTTCGTAATAAAGTTGTGCAAGATTGTGATATATATTTGCAGTTTTACATACTGCAACATAAGATCATTCCGCTAATATAATCTGTATTAAATCCAGATAACCTGTCTTTCGAAATACGTGTTATTCGATAAAAAGTAAATGGTACATGTGTACATATCGCACATGCCGTGTAAGCTCGATTTCGATATGAATATTACGTATCTCTTTAATTGTTCAAAATTTTACAAGTAAATGTATCGTATTTATATAACCGGTTATAATGTAAAAGAAATTTGCATTGTGTGTAATAACTGGGTCAACGGAGTACAAACGAGACATTAGTTATTTTACAAACGAATATATATCTCGTATTAAATTCTTGAAATATATCCAAATTCTATTTAGCGAAAATTTATTATCGCTCTGTGTTAAATATGAAATATGCAATGGAATATATGTGATGACACTCGTATTTTAACAACATTTATTTTAAAAGTTTATTTTCAATACAACAATCATATGATTGCATTATACGTTAGATGCATTGCAAAAAATATCAGCGTCGATTAGAGGAAAATAGAATTGAAACGTGTCTATGATGCAATTATGTATAATGTAAATATTGTTTATATTTGTCCTCACGTTTAGAATAATTAGTAAGTAACTCTAATAAATGATAATTCAATGTATCTTAGCCTTTAGTAAATATTTTTCTCATATAATGTGTTGAATTGTGTAACAATGTTAACAGTAATATCAACAAGATGTGTAAAATAGTTTCATAATGTCAAAAACAATATTTTTATTATATTCGTAACATAGAGCATCGCAACAAGTAGAAACGTTTCTTTAACACGTTTCTTTATAAATAAAAACTTATTATTATTGATATCAAATATTTTGTACTAATATTATAGTATGTTGTATTTTAAATATAGGTAAATTATGAATCTATAGAATTATCGCGACATTCGATCATTCGTTAATATAAATGTTATCATTTTTTGTTTAGAATATTGCGTATTATTTATCCATGAATGGATAATTTGAAGTAAAGATGGAGGAGGATATAAATTCAATCGAGGAACAGAATAAATCGTGTCGAGCTAATAAAATATCTCATAAGTCAAATATTCGAAAATTTTTTAGAGATGGTAAGTATATCCAGTCAAAAGATAAATTTCAAAAGTTTCAGATTAAATAACATGTACACGTATATTTTATATTCTAGTTTGGCGTAGAATTAAAGTTGAAATCAATGGGGAAGAACATAAACGTTCAAACGAGTATGGGGATTATTATTTCTGTAAGTGACTATTTTTACAAATAAAATGTAAAACAATTTAACAAATATTTCAATTCAAACAGTAAATTAAGAACAATTAAGGATTCAAAATTCTCTTTCAATTAAATACGATAAGAAGGAAATTTTAGAATATTTATAGAAATAATGAATTATTAATTTAATTAATATAAAAATATGATGAAATATTTATAGTCATTATATTTGGATCATTGAAAATTCTGACACATTATAATTTTGAAAGAGAAATGATAAAAGTATATTCGATTGACATCGTATATCTTATCTGCGGACACGCGCCACAACGTGACGAAGAGGGCAAATAGTGGAAGAAAGACAGAGATAGAATAAAAATATTGAAATCAGCGCCATCTTCAGAGTGCCGCAAATGAAATACAAAAAAAAAAGACAGAAAATAATTGGAGAAGGATGGAGATAAAATAAGAATTGAATTTCCGCGTCATCTCTTGAGTGCTAAAAACATCTTTCTAAAAGATGATTCAAAAGATGGCGTTGATCATCAAGTCCTACTGCATCGTATGTTATCTTATAATGATATCTTTAACTCGAAAGATGGTGCTGATAGTTATTTCTTAATTTTATCTCTATCCTTTCCGTCTTTTATTTTCCATCTATTATTTTCCGTCTTTTAAGTTTTGTAAGTTTCATTTGCGGCACTCTGGAGATGGCGTTAATTCTCATATTTTTATCATATCTCTATCTTTTTTCATTATTTGCTTTCCTTATCTATATTAAATAGAATAAACAGTATGAAACGAACAATACATGCTAATTTATCCTTAATTTCTTAAGCAACAATCAATAATCTACACATTTGTATCTAATAGTTCTACAGCTGTAATTATGTAATGATATTTCATTAAAAAGATATAATTATTGTTTGTTTTTAGCTTACAATTGCTGTTGAAATTTAGAGTTTTGAAATAACTTGTTTAATTGATACCTTATAATTATATTTTAGTTTGAAGAACAAGTAATACAGCAAGAACAGGTATACAAAGAGAACAAATAATACAAAGAGAACAAAGATAGAGATAGGATAAAAGTATTGATATCAATGCCATTTTCAAAATGTCGTAAACGAAACTTAGAAAGAAAGAATGAAAAACAATGTGAAAGAGATGGAGGATGAATTGAGTATCAGCGTAATCTCACGAATATCAGAGATATTTCTCCTAGGTAGGATAAAGTAGAATAAGAATTGAAGATCTGCGCCATTTCTTGAGTACATTTAAAAAGATAATTATTTGAAAAGATATCTTTAATATTCAAGAGATGGCGCTAAAGATCAATTCTTATTCTATCTCCATCCTTCTTTAATAATTTTTTGTCCTTTCTTTTGTGTTTCATTTGCGGCACTCTGAAGATGGCGCTGATTTCAATATTTTTACCCTATCTCTGTCTCTCTTCCATTATTTGCTCTCCTCGTCTATATTTGCTGTGCAAGATTTATCCGCTCAAGGGACGATTTTGATGTCCGATTAACTTTATTGTTTTATATAATTTTAATACTTAATTTTTTTGAATTTCGATCACTGTGTATGGTCGTTGATGATAAAAAAAAATAAATTAAATATAAAAATTTGCAATATAAAATTATGAAATATATTTTATGTAAAAATTTTTAAAAAATTATCGCATTATATAGTGGAAATATTTTTTTGGTTTCTGGCAAATTTATTTTCATAAAATAAAAATTTGATATTTTTTAATCATTTTAATCATGTTATATTTATATGTATTAATTAAATATGAATTTATAAAAAATATATTTCAATTTCGTACGAAATATACTTGTATATAAAGCAATTATTTCCATTAAGAAATAAACACGTATATTATAACGAGTATATTTTCTTACGATTCGATAAATATGTATATCTTGAGTTATTATGACCTCAATACGCTGTATTTGGGCTAAGTAAGAATAATCGATAAGTTTATATGAAAATTAAGTGCCCTTTTAAAGAGGATAAATGATGTAATTTGCATTCCTTAAGAGTAATCGGTAAGGGAATGAAGTGGATTGTATAAATATTACATTTTATTACAAATTATCGTAAATTTCGTTTTGATGTTTTGAAAAAATTTTAAGTAACGTAAAGTAGATAAAGACTTTCAATATCATCGTATAGAAATTTTTTTAATTTTTTTCTTTTTGGTTGAGTTGGAATGAAAGTGGCGAGTGAAAGTCTCGTTTGGGGAGGAGTGATAGCGGATGAAAGTTTTTGAGAGAAACTAAAGAAAAAAAAAAAAAAAAAAAAATAAAATAAAATTCGGGGTTTTTCCCACTTTAGTCGATATGCGGTTCAATACTCGAGATTTGTAAATTACAGATAAAATTTTCGTTCGAATGAGTTGATTTATTTATACGTCAAAACACATTGATTTACATTAAATTTTTAATCGCTCTCCTTTTTTTCACCGTCTTCTATAAATCTCTAATAATATTTAATTATTTTACTTTAATTAGCATCTCATAGCAGTCTTATATTTATTTTCATTCGAGCTGAAATTTTAATTACCCTCATTTTTGATATAAGATGAGTCTATGAAAATTAATCGGGCAGATGAAAGGATGGTCGATGCGACTCGTGACGAAACTTTAACTTGAAAAAATAATCTTGCAAATATTGTAAAAGAATACGGGATAAAAAAATATTTAATGATTACACGTTGCATGATTATATTATGTAATGATTCTCAACGAATTGCTTGCGAAGTTCATCTTCTCAGCTTATTTCCCGCTACGAAGAAAGGAGGTTAACAAGCATGGAAGTAACGCTCCATGTATGTAAATGGATCTTCAGTAGGTTTAAACTGAAGAGTCGGAGTCAATTTCGTTGTATGTGCGAATATCGATCGATTCGTTAAAAGTGTTTTCAGCTGAGACAGCGTTATTCGAAATATCAATAAATATATATATATATATTTGCATTATGCATTTAAACTAACTGAAAGAGACTTAACGAACATTAGAATCAGATCGTGCACAAATTTCCTCAACGTTCAAATTGGAATATTAAATCTAATTATCGTTAAATATTCAACCGCAACATGAGTTTGTAATTCGATATCATCCGTCTTTAGCGATCGATGAATACGATACAAATGATTTATACGTAGTTTAAGAGAACGTGAAATGTTCGTAATAAATGTTGTAATAATGAATTTCAATAGATATTTTTTATTTCACGAAAAATTCAAGGAAAAACAATCCTAAAAGACTACGATTAACTTTTCAATTAAATGGATAGATACTTGTTGACGAAAGTTTATAAAGTTTATGAATTAAAGAATTATAGTTTCATCGAAATGGAAGGTTTATTATTAGACTGAGAATTAAGTTTGTCGGATGATGTAATTCGCGCAATTCTCTTCTGGGAAGTTTTGACCTCACTCCGTCACTAAATTTACTTGAGCAGTCAAATCTCAGGAGGGCCAACTTTACCCAAATGTACAATAATATACACATCCCTTAAAATAGTATTGTCTTACTCTGTCACATTCTCGCGCACAATTCGCGTTCGTTTCAATTTGTTTCAACGGATTGAAAAGCAAAAGGATAAGCAAAGGAAGAAAGAAAGGATTGTGATCGAAAGTATATCGAACAAATATTGCGCATTTCGAACGATTGATCGAGCCCAAGGTTGAGCATTAACGATCACTTATTCGACCCGTTATATATATATATTATACCAAAGCTCGATCTACTACACGTTTTATTCGCAACGTTAAAAAGTTTTATCGCGCCGTTACGCAAGCCGCTTTACACAGTCGTGGTTTTAGAAAACTTTTGCAATTAACGCGAGAGGAGAGGTGTCGAGAGGAGAATGTTAATTTGACCGATAATGAGTTAGCAACGTCTCGACGACCACTCGCTTCGTTATATATATATACGTTTTGCCAAATTTTTTATTATAATATTTTACAAACGAAAATTTATACGCGAATCGAATTATGAAACGATGTTTCGTGTAATTAGAATTAGGAATTTTCTCGATTCAGCAATTTATTTTCTAAATTTTGCCTCGCCATGATTTCTTCCGTGATGAACTGAATATCTGAATCCGAACTTTTCGCAATCTCTTCCTTTAAATATAGTTGTACGTGGTCTCGAGTGCTCTATCACCAAACTCCCCGATTTTGGTCCTCCTCCTCCAAAGATTGAGGTTACCCTTAGGAAGTTTTCGAAACAGGTGTTGGCGTTTTATCAAGTTTGGAGCATTGTTTCGAAAATACTTTGAACAACAATTACGGAAGCGGTGGAAATTTCTAGAATATACAAAGAGAGCGATAGAGTCATAGTCGAATATTAATTTCACGTATTTTATGGATGTAAGATGCATTACAAAATCGAGGGCCACGTTTGAAGATTAAGAAACGGAAAAAATATTACGATGGAAAGAATGTTTGATCCTTTTCATCATATATGAGTCACATCTATATTTAACGTATTTTATTTCTTGTTTCCTTGGAATTGAATGTGTTCTTTCTTATTATATACATTCTTTATTTCAATAAAATCATTTCATCAATTCCCTAATGATAATATTATTGTAAATTATTAACGGAATTATCGAATCGTATCCATATTCTACGTATCCTGTAATCATTCTGTTTAAGCATTGTATCGTTATATTTCTACAATTACATCAACACGTCAACTTATATTTACTCGATTATACCCGATTCACGTGAGGCAAATATATAATTGCTTTAACAATCAATATATAAATAAAATGCAAATAAATTAATTAGCGAACATACACGATAACAACAGCCAATCCTTATTATTCTTGCAACGCGTTAAACGATTTCGTTCGTTTCGCCGAACTCGAGTTTATTAATTTATAATCACGACGCACAATTGGAAATTGTAGAATTTTTATTATCTAGAAAAAATATCGTACAGAACCAGGCCATATTTTTTTTTTTGAAAAGTATTTTTGAAATTTATTATTATCTTCGATTTTTCTTTT